TCCTTCGTAGCCTCCAATCAATGGACGGATTATGATCTTCTAACCAAGAAAGACCAAGGATAACAGGGCTTGATGGGGTTCTAATAATATTAAAAATAACGTGACTACTATGGTCCTTAAACACCACTTCTATAGGTTCTGATTCGTGGGTAACGTTGCCTGACAATAAGGGTCGTCCATCTATCACCTCTACGTGAACAGGTTTGGACTTCTGTACTAAACGGATCTTGTGGCGTTTAGCAAACTCTTCATCTAAAAAACAAGTAGATGCCCCCGAATCCAATAAAGCTAAAGTTTTTTGTTTTTGAGGGCCTAAAAACAAAGGAATTGTAAAACAACGGGCAGGTTGGACAGAGAAGGAGGAACCTGATTGTTGTCGTGATATTAGATTGTCCAGCCGCACGGTTCTTACTGTGGTTGGGCGTCGTCGTTTTCCGGAATCATTACACTTCTAGTCTTGATAGGGTGCCAATTTTGCTTCTTTGGGCAATTTCCAACCTTGTGACCTTCTTCTCCACAGTACAAACATAACCCTTCCTCCATACGCCGTTTCTTCTCTGTTGGAGTAAGAGATCGGACACGCGCCGTGTCGATTTGCATGTCTGTTGCCTCCGAATGTGAGTTTAAGCTATTTGCAGACATAGTCACGTCGTAACGAGTCATTTGGTGTCTTGGACGTTGGTCTTGGCGATGCTGGAATAGGCGGTTGTCACACTTTACAGCTTGGCTAATAGCTTCGTTGAGCGTTTGAGGATCAGGAAGAGATAACAGCAAGTCCTTCACATCATCCTTCAAGCCCCAATAAAACTGACTCACCAACGCCTCTTCACCCCAATTAATGTCACTTGCCAATTGTCTGAAATTCGAGGCATAGACTGATGCAGAGCGTGTTCCTTATCGTAGTGATCGGATCTTTGTTGTAGCCCATCGAACTTTATCATGCTCGCCAAATGCTTCTGCAAATGCCTCCAAGAACGTTTCAAAGTTGCTCAGGATTGGCGATCGCTTCTCGAACAAGGGAGTAAACCAAGACAAAGCTTATGCTGTAAGCAAGGTTCCAACAAGCCCAACACGCGCTTCCTCCGTCGGATAACGTTCGGGCTGTAAAATTGTTATCAACCTGATTTGGTTGACAAAACCTCGAAACTTGGAAAGAGTTCCATCAAACTTATCCGGAAGACTAACTCGAGGCTCCTTTCGTTGTAGGACTACTCGATCTTGTTGAAATGGAGGTAGAACTGCTTCTTCTGGCGTAGAAGTTTGAGGCTGATATGCTTTAGATGGCGCTATCCGAGATGCTCCATTGTTATGGAGTCCTACCATGACTCCTTCGATCTCTGTTGTCCTATGTGACAACGAGGCAAGAGCATTTATGATGGCGTCTAGTTTGGATTCCAAACTTTCAGCCATTTTAACGTCTTAACCTTCGGCTAACCTTCAGAAAGAAGAAAAAAGAGTTTTGACAAGAGGACAATATTGGTTCAGAGGAGAGTACTCCGCAACCTCTAAAACGCCTTAAGACTCCAAGATGAGGGGTAATCCACTCTCTCCAAGAAGAATAAGGCTCCAATATTGAGAAAGAAGAGATATCAGTTTAGAGGAGGGTAATCCGCAACCTCTAAAACACTAGCACACCTTCAAGAAGAGGGGTAATCCACTCTCTAACAAGAAGGAACTAGCTCTGATACCAGTGAAAATGCAGTCTCGACAAAGTGTCACGGACACAAAATACAGACTTGAAATCTAACAAGAAGTTCAAGAAGAAGTGGCAGAACTAGATTAAACAGATGAGTACAAGAACAACACCAGAAAGGTGAGCTAGAACTCCAAGAGATGTGTTGTCGAGACTGAAGAATCCTTCAGCCTCGACTCCTATATATACTACTGAATAGGAAGCTTCTCGAGCTACTTCCGCTAACTAGGACGCTTCTCCAACAACTTCTACTAATTAGGAAACTTCTCGAGCAACTTCCTAAAATCTATCAGAATATTCTAGAACCTTCTAAGAGAATCTTTAGGGAATATTCTAAGAATATTCTAGAATCTTCTAAAGGAATCTTTAAAGAATCTTTAGAGAATATTCTAGAAGAATATTCGAAGAATCTTCTAATGTATGTCCATGACACAAAGCTACTATAACCATTAGTTATAATTTCTAAAAGAAATATTTTATAAATAATATCTCTAGAGGATAATGGACAACTATCAATGATTTCTATATGAATAGATTTTGTTTTCTTTGTTAAAGATATATTATATTTTTTTAATAAATTCTTTATCTATAAAACAAATTGAAGCTTATGTATCTAGCAATGCAAAGGCTTTGTGATATTTAGATCCTAAATTAATATCTATTCTAAATCAAAGAAAGGATTTTAAAGATAGAATGCATCCTTTATTAAGTATAATATAAGGTTCTAACTACACGGTTCCTATTATTATTGGACAAATTCGTTTTGTGATATATTATTATTTTTTTGACAATCATACTTATTATTTTACAATTGCATTGCTTCTTTGGACAATGTTGAACAATGTATGTTGGTTCTCTATAATATAAGTACAATTCTTTTTAACGACAACTAGTTTTTATTTTGCACTTACAAATTAAAAATATATTGCATGTATTTACATATCTTCTACTTTTAAAGGAATATTTTGAAAAGACATTGGTATTGTCATTAAATTGTAATAACATTGGGGCCTAATTATGTAATTTTTAGACCAAAATTCAAAAAATTAATTATCGTACTTTAAAACAAAATCAATTGTTTAACTCAATGTTTGAAAATCAAGTAAATTGAGCATCCATTTCTTTACCTCATATTATAATCCATAAAGAATTTGGATAATGAATATAATATTATCTTATTTAATATTAATAATATTTTTTTTAAAATTTAAGCATTCAATGTTATAAATTTTTTTTTTTATAATAAAATATGGATCTTGTTTGTTGCCATACCAATTACATCATATTTTTCATATATAGATCAAAATTTTGCCAAAAAGCTTCCAAATTATTCAATATTAGGTCATGTTATTCAAAAAAAGATAAAAACTATGATAATACTAAATTAGAAAGTAGACTTTTAATAAATCTAACTTGTAATCCTAAAATTGGATAGCTTTAGGATTGAAGTTCAATTAAAAATTGCACTTATTTAAAGAATCTTCAAAATTTTGATCTTGTACCATCAAATTTCTTAGATAAGATAATTATTGGCTCTATAGTGTATAAATAGTGTTCCACTGTAGGAAAAATGACATGATTTGGTATAGATATTGAAGCAACTTCAACCATCTCTATATCTTCATATTTTGTTATTCTTATTTTTTCTTATAGTAGTAAATTGAATTCATGCATTGCAAAGCATTTGTTGTATTAATTATTCTTACGTTTGTGCTATTGTATTCTTATTTTGATAAGCTTTTTCATAATAATACTAAGAAAAATAAATTATCTAATATTTCTTAAGACAAGTAAAAGATAGAACTTAAAAACAAAAAAATACCAAAAATAATATAAGTTTAGAAGAAGGTAATTTGCAACTTCTAATATGCTTATGTCTTATCAAGAGAAAAGAATAATCCACTCTTAATCAATAAAAGTCAAAGCTTTGATATTATAAGTGTATTCTTGTCAATTTATCAAGGATAAGAATTCAATGAATGAAAATAAATAAGCATGATTTTATTAAATAATTATGAAAAAATAGAAATAAAAAAAATATGTGTATTAAAAAGAAATTTGAATGGGTATTGCCAAAAGACAAGAAAACTAGAGATTTCTTGAAATTAGACTAGAAACAAGAAAAAAATTGATAAGAATGAAGAAAGCTTCATTCTTGCTTCTATATATACTATCTATCTTAGATATATGTGGTGAAGTTCTATAGGACCTCCAAAACATGTTGATTTTACAAAACATGTATCTTAACTTGTAAAGTAAGTTTTCTATATAGACATTATATAATTACCTTATTTTATAAGCTATTAATACTTGTAGTATGTGATTAACTTGTTGACGAAGTTTCTAACCTATTAATCAACTACAAATATATGTAAAGACAAAGTAGCATCTATAAAGCTTTTAAGAAACTTTCCTAAAAGATATTATGAAATTAATCTATTTTAATTTATTTTTACATATTCATATTATCTAAGTAATAATTATGATAAATATATCTAGAACAACTAGATTTAAATTTGAAAGCTAAAAGAAGAAAAAAAAATTAGATAGTAAAGAAGTATAAGGTGAAAAGAATCTAATAGTACCAAGACATAATAGACTTAAAGTTCTATAGCAAAGATAAGAAATTTTTCAAAAAAAGTGTATACAAATTAAAATACCTAAGATATGCAAAGAAATATGTCTAAAGTGCAATCATTTGAATATAGTCTTTAATAATATCACCAAAACTAAGTTATCAATAAAGGTGACACACAATTACATGCTCTTTAGTCTTATCAAAATTTCTTAGCTTTTATATATTTTGGATATGATAAGACCTTAGAAATACTATCAAAGGATTTTTAGTCATGTCAAATATAGAATGTAATTTAAGACTTTGTACAATCATGTCATGTTTGTTGAAGATCACAAATTCCTTGTCATTGTCCTAATAGACTTGTTTAGCTATTACTTATACAAAAACAACCATGGTCTTTTATTTGTATTGATTTTATTTCAAATCTTCTAATCTCAAGTTCATATGACTCTATATTTATCATAGTAGACTATTTCACTTAGATGATATATTTTTTACTATATACAAAAATCATCATACATAAAGAAATAACTAAATTTTTTCTTAATAATATTAATGGATATGATGGATTGCCAAGGAACATTTTTTATTGAATACATGAAAGCAATATTTATCAAGGTTTTGAAGAATCATTTTTAAGATATTGAAGGTAGACATTAAATTATCTTTGGCTTTCCTTCTTCAAATAAAGAGATAAACGAAACAAGTGAATCAAATTTGGGACAATACTTGAAATGTATCATTGACTATTACTAAGATAATTAGACAACTCTTTTGCCATAGTTTGTCTTTTGTAATCCAGTCTTCTAAGACAAATGCATGACTATGCCAATTTTCATCCATCATTGATCTAAGTTCATCCAACTCTATCCTAATTCATCCAATCACCTCCACGTCCAATTGTTGCTGGTCCAAATTGTTTATGTAACAACCATCCATTCAAATTGCAAATTAATTGCTCCTTTACACATATTTTTGAATTTTCTCACAACAATTTGGATGTTTTTGACGGGACTCTAATCCTTTTCGATCTGCAAGGCTGACAGGGAAGCCGTCCTTCAGTCTTTGCTCTTCTCCTGGACTGATTGATGCAACAGGTTCCCTTCTTGTGGGTTTCGTCGCCAGTACGATTGACCTTGGCTTCAAAGCACCGTTTGTGCTGAATTGGATTGACGGAAAATACAGCTCGTTGCCGCTCACTACCCTTGATTCCAACACCTCTTCAAGCTTGCAAAATCGCGAGCTCCTTCGATGCAGACCACACCATTGCCGATCACCACCGCAATCCAAAAAGCAATGAGCAACACTCAGGTTGTCAATTGAGAAAATCTGCTAGTTTAGTAGGCCTAAGAATGCGCAATGTGAACCAACCATCGGTTCAGTGAGTGTCAATGAAGAGAACCAACATGCCCTTGCCAAGGTGAGTCAATGCCATAGGCGATGAGAATCAGCTCCGTTGCGACCTCGCCACTCGAAGGAGGGAACCATTGCCTCCACCAGACCACGACAGCAACCCCGTCGCAACTTAAATTCACCGTCCAGAGAAAAGACACTCCAACGAGAGCAGACCGCCGCTTTGATGAAACCGTTGTCACCAGAACCAAAACAAGAGGAATATTTCTAGGAATCACTAAACCAAAGAAGATCCCCGCAATCAAGTAAATGCACGAGAAGCTAGATGCAAGGAAATAGAACAACCAAACCAAATCAGATTAGAACCTGTAGCCCCACAACTTCAATCGCAGGAATCCAACTGTTGCGCCTTGGTTGCAACAACCACTACACCAGTAGATGAACACCACAATTCTCCTCAGCTCACTGAGCTACTCACAAAAATCTAAACAGCAACAGTAGCAGCTTGCCAAGATGCCGCTGAAGGAGAACCTCAACCGCCGCTTGCCAACCGCTGTCACCGATGTAGCCAGGCAACCGATGCCACCGAAGTTCCCTATAACGATACTTCGTCGTCATCCATTCTCTTCCTTGCTTAGAAGAAGAATAAGAAAAATCAGGACGTGAGAGTGATAATGGGACCCAACGGAGGGAGCCAAACAGGGAAATGGAATCAGAAGCCACGGTTGAAACTTGGCATAAAACGATGACAATGTATGACTGCCTGCACCACTGGACAACAATTACCACTTCCTGCTAATACAAAGTCGATGATGAACAGGCAATAGTGGGAGCCGCAGCAACTCCAGTAACAGTGTCCAGCTCAGAAATCCGTGGACGACGCAGGAAGAATTGCAGAGAACAAACAAAGTTCGTGGGTGATAGGAATCGTGGAACAAGTAGAGACTCCAGCAGCTAGCACAACCGCAACTGGATAGCCTCCACAAATCACAACCACCAACTCGTATAATCCGTGGGAAACGTCAAACACAGCCTCGACGTAGCAGTAAAAAAACGAAAGAAAAAAAATCGGAAATGGTGCTCTTGGGATTGCTGCAGCTTCCACAACTAACAGAGGAAGTACACAAACGAAAAAGAGAGAAGAAACACGAGGACGTGCTACACTGTGGCACTCAGAGGGCGAAGGAAAATAACAAGTAGGAAACTTCGGAGCGCTTAGAGCTCAAGCGAATTTAAAAAGGAAAAAAATAAGAAAAAAGATGGATGAAATCCGTTCTCCGAAACAGCCCCTATCGACGGAAGCTAATGCCCTCGTACCGATATCGGTATGATACCTAGGTACGTACCCGATGTACGTATCCGGCAATGCCGCTACCAGAGCATACGTCTGCTGCAACCCATACTATACAGTATTGTATCCCTGTGGTGTTAGCACCATATCCAACACTTTTTTTTAGCACCATATCCAACACTTTTTTTTAGCACCATATGTACTGTAGCAATGCCATATCAATATCATCTTCCAGCTGTATTTTCTACTGTATGGCTACGATAGATTATATATATGTACATATACATATATATATCCAATACTATAGTTTTCCGTATTTATACTCCTATCCATACAAAACCTTCTAGCATATTTACTACATATCTAAGACGTACTTATTTTGTATATGGCCTTTTAATGCTAGATTCTTGAATATTTTAGGTTCCTTCTAGATGCTCCAAAGATAATAAAAAGATACTAATTTAATGCCCTTTAAGATGCTTCTACTTAAAAATTTATATTAGATTTTCTACACATCACTATGATTTATTTACTAACTCTATTTTACTTTTGTTTGACATTTTTTCCACTTCTCTACAACTAACATTTGATACTCCTATTACACTCTTTTGTCTTAAAACAACCCGTGAATTATTTTGGTGACTTACAAGAGTGCGAAGTCTTGCACTTATAATTTTCAAGAAGCCAAACATTGAATAGAAGGATGATAGAGATCAATGTTAGAGTTGTTTTTACATATCAATGGCTGTGCACATAACAACATTAGTGGTTCCAAATAACTTGGATGGTATACTATCACTTGCCAATAAGCATAAAATTCACGTAAAGATTCTTAATTTTTTGCAACTTAAAGTGTATGGAATCTTCTTGAGTAAATAATTGTAAACCATTCTAAATGTGTTCTTTTGATTTTGTCGTTACAAGGGGCATCCGATAATAAAACTACATATAATTTCAAGGGTCACCAGATAATAATCTAATAGTAGTTCTAAATTGGTACAAGAAAAATTAAAAATAGTTAGATCAATTATTCAAAGAAGAACTACAGCTGTTTGTGCTAGATTACCTCTTTGGTTGGCTTTTAGTTAGGCTTCAAAGAAATAGCTTAAATCCATAAGTTATAAGTATACTTCAAATAGAAATTTCTATTAAAGAATTATTGATTTGATAATTAGACTTCATTTTATATATACATTTAGTGATTAATGTATTAAACTCTAAATCCTAATTTCTAAATGAAAGCTTTATTTTTTTCTTATAGTGTTAGAAGTAGTTAGTTCTAAACTTCTTAATGACTCTTAAGTCCTCACTTTCATTTGAATCCATGTTTAGGGACAAGGTGTATTAAAAAAAATCAAAAAATGAGTGATAGAGCTCTCAAAATCAAGTTAAATTTGTTATTACTTTAGAAATCTAGAATACCTTCTATAGAATAGATATTAGTTCATTTCTATAAGATATTGGTAAAATAGTCTAATAGTCCATAGAATAGTCAGTTCAGGAGGACGGATGGTTAACTTAGTTATTAAAAGTGGTTAATTATAGAATTATGGTTAGAATCTCAGAATAGGGAGTAAGTATATAGGAGTTGTAGAAGTTAGTCTAAGTGCCAGACTATGATAGTCATGAGCTGGGATTAAGCTTGGTGCTACTTCTTTGTTTTTCTTTGTTATTGAAGAGTAATGAATAGTTTCTGAATACTAAGAAGTGAGTATGTGGAATAAATTAGAGATTGATTTATGAGTTATTAATTATGTAATTGGAGTACTGAGTGATTGAATTATATGAGGAGTTATTGGAAGATTATGGTTGTTGTTTATTGAGAGCTATGTGTGTTTTGGATAGAGGAAGTTGGTGATTACAGAAATTCTGTGAATTCAGATTGGTTGGAGTGAAGTCTGTTATTCGTGGTGTGGGATGGAATTTATTGAGTTTTGAGCAGTCTTTTAAGAATGCAGGGTTGTACATTGTGGTTATCAGTTGATGAAGGAGTATTGTTACTAGAAGGAAGTATTGTAGTGTGTCTTGGTGTTTTAGTGGTTTGGATTTTAATTAATTGAGTAATCCTAACTTATAAATTCATACACTTAGTCTTTCCCTGAGTTTGAATTCTCCTACAGAGGTTTATTTTGAAAGGAATTGTAGAATAAGTAAAATGACAATCACATTTTGGCGTCGCTATTAGGGATAGATAATAGCATTGAGTATTAGAAATTAACTGAATTGGCCCTCATTGACCAGTAATTTATGCCACTCTACGGAACCAATTTTGACAGAATTGGAAGCTTCTGTTATTAGAAATATATCGAATAGAGTACCCAATTCTTTTATGATTCTCCTACTCATAGTTAACGGCCTCAAGGGAAATACTGGTCTATTGACCAAATTTTTCACGAGTGCTCTTGGTAATTTCTCTAATGGTATATAAAATCCATCATTTTTACCCTCAATTCAATCGAATAACTTAGTAAGGAACAATAATAGTAAATTGAAGAAACTTAAAAATTCAGAACAATCAATTGAAGAAGGCTTTAGTTGTTTTGATAAAAGATTAAGTGAAACATTGTTCTCTTCAATGGCGACAGATGGTCCAGCACTTTCAATAGCAATCCAAATGGGTGACGTGGGTGATTGCACAACCAACGTGGCTCCATTATCTACTTTTAGGGGCTTTCCAAGTATGGACCCCGATCAACATTTGTCTCAGTTTTTGATAGCATGTGTAGCCAATAATGGAAGAACTGAAGATATTTGGTTACGATGGTTACCATCAATCTTAAAAGACACGGCATTTGAATGGTACAATTGTCAACGAGTGGATCAATTTCCGAATTGGGAAGCATTGAAGAATACATTTTTAATCCATTTTTGCCTAATTGGTTTTGAGGATCGACTTCGAGAAAGATTAATGACTAGCAAAATAAGTCTAAGAGAGGCAGTGGAATCATACTATGGTCATGTGGTAGATATACTTTGCAAGTGGTTAAATCACCAAATGCTAGAGGCTTTTGTATTATCCATATTAATCAATGGATTGCACCCACTGAAATTAAAAATGTTTATAAAAGAGGCTCAACTAAATACGATAACGGCATCTCTTAATAGAGCCAAGGTTTGAGAGGAATGCCATTAGGATCAGTTTTTAATTACAGGTGCTACGATGATTCCAATTCAAGGCAACTATCAAAATCCAACTTGGAACGGAACAGTGGGTAGTTATCCACGGATGTTAGAAATAGTGGCCAATTCCAGTGCCAATATTCAGGGGCCAATTAATGTCACCCCATAGCAAGCTATACCGAGAAACATGACAACAGTGTATGCTCTATATTTTCCATATCAACAACAAGCGATAGAGCTACTAATAATACCAGCCCAAAAAGATTCCAATGAAGCCTTGTTATTGAACGTGATGAAGAAAATGGAGGAAATGGCCATTAATATGGCCAAAGATAAAGAAAAGAGGTACAAGCATACCAATACTAGGACCAACGTATGATGCAGTAATTGTAAGGGCCATGGTCATTTGGTAACAGAATGCCCTTGACCCTTACAAATGATAAGTCCATGTATATTTTGTGGAAGAAAGCACTTAACAGCTAATTGTTGGAATTTGTAAATACAACAATAATTCAGTAATCAGACCATGATTCTACCGACTCAGTGCGACTTCAATTAAGTTCAAACAAAAAATACGTATAGATGGAATGAAAATCGATCTAATTGATAAAATTGAGCATTCAATAACTTTTAAAGTTCCAATTTTATTCACGGATCTGCATCAAATCTTCAAAACTACGGTAAGAAGCAGCAGAGGTATTAGTAATATGTTCCATTGATGTCATCAAACCAAGTACCCTTTGTACCAACAGAACAACTGGGATCATTTTCTAATCTTATATGGAACAAACTTAGTAGATATATACCAATGGAGACACCCAATATGCCTAATGGGGGTATAAGAAGACTACTTTGTTGTTTTCGTTGTAAACCGATTGGTCATTATGCCAATGAATGTCTTAATTCCAGATCCAGTGATGATTATGTGCCAGTGTGTGGAAATTATAAGTAGTTGGGGCATACTTATCAACAATTTAATGCTCCATTCAATTTCAAAAATCGGGATGAGTAGATTCAAATACAAGAAAAAATGGAAGAAATAAATCAAGGTCCTAAAGATTCTCCAGTAAATCGGATGGAATGTGTTGAAGCGGTTATTATCAAGAGTCAACAAAAGGAGAAAGGACCAACTCAACATTTGGGTGATATTGAAGCGAAGGGCCAATTGGACCTAATTACGAGGCCATCCAATCTAGGTCCTAATATGGACGTCTTACTGAGTATGAGACCTAACTCGATTGGGCAACCCAATGAGGTTTCGATTATAGAAGCTTTGGTTTCGGTTCAAATTATTCCGTCCTCTACACAATTCCAAAAAATGTCCTTTTCATTGAAAGTTCCTCTCAGAGACATGAATTCCAAGGAAGCTCCATCTGTTATTTCAATTCCAAGTTCAGGGGAGAAGAATATCTTACCTCACGAAGTTAAACTCAAACTAATGAAAACAAAGAGGGCATTCGACATTACCCTAAATATGGAACCCTATGACATTTTGAAGAATGTGGATGCTATTCAACCTTCTATTTCAATGAAGTAACTTCTAGCGGTCACTCCACATTACCGTTTTACATTGAATTCATCGTTAATATAACAACGACAACGTAATAAGAAAGTTTGTAAAGTTAGTTTGAACCCTGACTCAGGTGCACTAATCATCGATGTTTTGATTGACGATATTATGATCTTGGATGTTCAGGTGGATGGTGGTTTCAATGTCAATTTAATGAATACTAATACAATAGATGCTTTAGATTTAGAACTCTTAGTATCGACAATA